AATGGTACTTTATCGGAGGTTAAAATAAAACTAGGGAAAAGTAACCATATTGGTACCCCTGGGACGTGCAATCGCGACGCCATCTTGAATATCGTTAGAAGCTAGGTCATTTTTCCATTTTTGCTGCTTTTTGTACAGCGTATTTATTTTCTTTTTTATTACTCTGCGTTAAGGGGTTTTAAGTATTCAATTGGCTCTTCATAAGCAATTTAAAGGGTGTTCGCCAAATGAATATCTACGATTTTCGATATATTTAAAAAAAGATATATAAATTGGAATTGACATTATATACAGAAGTATTTTATCCCTTCCATAACCAGTGAGACGCAAACTGTCATTCATAATTATTATAACACCCTTTATATTCATTCACAAAAGGTTTAAAACAGAAGAGTACATTTTTACAATTTAGCAACCTTTTTCAAAAAATATAATTTCTCAATTCATCTCACCTTATCAAGTTTAAATTCTTCTTATCCTCAGCTCCATCGATCAAATTTCACTAAATCGAAGCTTTCAAATTCCACGTTCCCAAAATATTACCAAAATTCACCAGATTAACCACCAGATTACCCCTTAAACGCAGCTTCCCCTCGGTGTCTCTAAATCGTTGCGACAAATATTATTTACCACGCACCACGAATAATATTTCAAAACCCACTTTCGAACAGCTTTTAACCTCGCGCTATTCTCCGGAAGCGTTGTTTACACGCGAGAAAGGATGTAGTACATCGGAGTCTGCCAGCGATCCGGAGGACGCGTCAGATTGATCGAGCAACCGCGACACGGTCATGCATTTATGCATTTCACCGTCGTATTATACGAACATCGGCCGGACTCTTCGATTGATTGAATATTCCTTTGAAGAGGACCTTGAATATCGGGCCTCGAATACAACATCGTACAATTTCGATCGCGTTCAAATCTCGCCGCTTTTAGGAACGACGCGTCGTAATACCGACCGGACGATCTATTGCCGCGTAAAATTTTATGTCACCCAAAGGGACCGATTTCCTGATACGTGGAGGAAAAGCTGCTCGACCTTTGTCCGCAATAGACCCGCGGAATTTTCGCATACGAAACGAAACGTGGAAATTTCGCTTTCGCGGCACCCTCGTCTACACAATGGCGGCCTCGGTCGGTGAAAAATCTCCGGGAAAATGAACCAGAGAAAAATTCCTACGTAACTTTATTGAAAGAAGGAAAACTAAGTCTTTTTCCAATGCGTCTTTCCCCGCACAAAGGAATCGTTCGAGAGAAAACGACGCAAGAGGGTGTAGAATCGTCACTTTAGAATCGCCATTTTGTCGAAAATTATTCGACAGAAATAACGTGGTAATTCTTTATTTTTTTCCTCTCTTTTCACGAAGCAATCGCACCGTTCGCTCGTTAATCACGCAACCTAGTGCCAGATTTTTTTCATCCTCGCAACTTTCGAAGCTTACACACGCCAGATGCAACCTTCGTGTTCCGGGGAATGTTTTGGCAATTTAAAATTCCCGCGTTCCGTGTCGCTGCGCTGAATTATACGGACGACGCGACGCCGTTTCGAACGGGGCACGATTTTTTCCGGCGGACAGGAACAAAAATTGGAAACACGCGTTTTAATGGAATTCGCGAGAATTCGTTAAATATTCATCGAACGAATTCGTCGATGGCGGAGTCAAGGTCGTTTCAAGGTCAACTCTCGGTTTCTCTAAATCGAACGTTTGTTATCGTTCGAAATTTTTCCAACACCGGTAACATTCGAAATTCGCTTCATCTCGACGTGGTGAATCTATTTTAAAAAATACCGCGAGCTTTTCTCTATCGTTCTTTTCTTTGTTTTTAAACGTTTCTCTGAATTACGCAATATCGCAAACGGTGAATGTTAAACGACGCGATTAAAAAAAAAAAATGGAAACGTTTCGTATCACCGTGAAAACATCCAAACCGTAAACCACTCGTCTCGCTATTAAAAGAAATATGAAAAGGCTTCTTTCTTTTGGAAAATGCTCATTCAACGAACGCGTGTATACGACGCGGGTGCAATTAAAAAGCAACGTGCTTTATATCGTTGCACAGAAATGTGTTCAGAGTACATTGTACGAATTTCGACGGTAAGATTTTCTCCAAAAAGAGAGAAAGAAAGGAGAGGAGAGGGTTGGAGTTCTCTCTGGGAACGTTTTGAAGGAGACGTCTTCGCCTTAAATATACATATAAACGGTGTACGAGAGGGAAGTGTCCTGAAAACAGAACTCAGCGAAGAAACTAGAGGGAAGGAAGTTCGAGACGTAGAAAAGTTAGGAGAAATAGGTGCTACAGTATCGAGGAGTGTGCTGGAAGGGAAAGTTTCCTTGTTTCTTTGCATACACGCGACCAGTGTTGTCTGAGTCCCTTTGGAGAAGAACTTGTAAGCGAGGGAATAAGATAAAAGGGGTAGTCTCATTTTTCCAGCGAACTGGTGAATCGTACTGGCGATGTTACGAGTCAAATGTAGAATAATTAAGAAATGAGACTGATGCAGTGAAGAGAAAAATAGAAATTTTACGTAGCATTGAAAGGAACACTGTCAATTTAAAAAATAATGGTATTTCTAAATTTTCTCTTCTTCGAGGAATATTAATATTCTGTCGTGTAAAATTTTGGGATTATTAATCAGAAAATGGATTCAAACATCATTGATCAAATTTTACACCAAATATTCGTGTTTTCTTTAATCACAAGAATTTATCAGAACTGTGAAACAACGTTTATGCAATACCAAAGAAACAATAATGATAGTTTGATTGTCCCTCTCTAAATATATCTCGCAATAAATTCTCACGTACTCTCAGATATCAATAACAACGTGCTTCGCCTGTTTTTACCCCCAGTTACCCTGTATGATCCGCTCGTTTACCAAATCTCGAGACCATACGATATACTCACTTCATTCACGCCATCACTCACATCTTATTATTAAACCAATTCCACAGAAACAAAATGAAACTTTACATAACAATGAAAGGGACACCTATAATTTTAAGAATAATTGCACTTTGAAATTTCCTATTCTTCCAGGATTTTTAATAAATTCTATCGCGCAAAATTTATCACCGATCAAATTTTGTATTAATACTCGTTTCATCCTTAACCATAAGGATCTTCCAGAACTGTGAAACAACTTTTATGCGATTCTAAAAGAAAGCAAACTAAAAGCTTTCCGTAACACTGAAAGAAACATGAATTTAAAAACTTTTTAAAACAATGACACTTAAAAAATTTCTTTTCTTCGAGGATTATTGATATTCTATCGTATAAAATTTGAAGACTAAAGATAATATAATTCAAGCATCGTAGATTAAATTTTGTATTAATACTTCATCTTCGACCGTGAGGATCTTCCAGAAGTTTGGAACTTTGCACAAAATTCGATGGAATGGCACGCAGCTTCCCGTTTCCGGTTTATTAAACGCGTTACCGAGGAACAGCTACGCGATTGACACTCGCGTTTATTTACCCAGGCCGTATCGTACGCGGAATTTTGGTTAGCCAGGCGAAACAACGGGCGGCGAGCTTCCACAACATGACAAGTTCACGTTTGACGTATCGTTCGCGCCGCTGAAATTACATCGCTAATTTAGCCGGCGTCTAGTCGACGCTGAATGACGAAATCGTCGCGCTGCGAATTACCGTCTGCCTAGGTTACACGGAAATCATAGGAAATCCCGATGCAATTTGCCGTATTTGATTTTAATATTATCGTTTATCGACGTGAGCCTCAGGTTTATGTTACGTTCCAATGTAGATTGAGTCCTTGGAAATTTTCTCGTACTTATTCTGCACAAGTTGTTGCAATTTTTAAGTATTAATTGTGCAATATGGTTTAATTGTGGATAAATGTCTCATTGAAAAATTGTACGAGATTGATATTTTCTTTAGAAAACCGTGAAATTATTGAGAAGTGACAATTTTATATTTGGCAATTTGACAATTTTATATTTAACAATTTAACAATTTTATATTTGACAATTTGACAAGTGGACAATTTTATATTTGACAATTTGACAAGTGGACAATTTTATATTTGGCAATTTTATATTTGACAATTTTATATTTAACAATTTGACAAGTGGACAATTTTAAATTTTACAATTTTATATTTGACAATTTGACAAGTGGACAATTTTATATTTGACAATTTGACGAGTAGACAATTTTATATTTGACAATTTGACGAGTGGACAATTTTATACTTGACAATTTGAAAAGTGGACAATTTTGTATTTGACAATTTGACAAGTGGACAATTTTATATTTGACAATTTGAAAAGTGGACATTTTTATATTTGACAATTTTACAAGTGGACAATTTTATATTTGACAATTTGACAAGTGGACAATTTTATATTTGACAATTTAAAAAGTGGACAATTTTATATTTGACAATTTGACAAATTGACAATTTTATATTTGACAATTTCGTATTATGTGTAGAAATTAATTCGGTACTTTTTCTTACAAATCAATATTTATTTACAATTACAAAAAATCAAAATAAAAATTTGTTAGAAATTATTCTCCATTTTTCCATTATTAAAGATATGACGATTTTGAGTCTATAAAGTATCAAAACTTTGTGAAAAGACGCACTGTATTAATTTCTACACCTAACAAGTAGTATAACCATATTCTTAGTCAGGCAAGTGAAACAAACTGCGACGAAACTACATTATATTCCCAAAATAATTTTCAAAATACCACTAAGTACTTTTCCTCTCGTTCAATTCTCACGAAACGAAGCGAAACTTGAACGGTATTCGCAGAAAATTAAGTATGAAACGGTCGAAGAACTGAGAAATATACGCTCCTTCGAAAATCATTTTTCATTCGACGTACATACGTACATGGCAAGAACGATTTATCTTGCAATTTAGGTGAACGTCAGCCGTCGAAAATATTTGAAATCCTTCCCGACGAGACGACTACGATTGAATTCGTACCGTTTCGTCCACGACAACGGCTTGTCGATATTTCAGAACACGAGGGTGGCACTCAACAGCCGGCCAGCGTGTGCGACGTCGAATATTACGGATTGACGTCACCGGTGAACGGTTCCGTGGTGCATCCGGAGCCTCACCGATTATTCGCCATGAAGGGGCCTATAAAATGCAGGCAGAACTTCATTCCAGCGGCTAATCAGTCGGTCATCATTCGCGTAAGTTATACGACCCATCTTTGTCCAGCTGTTATTGGCCAATAAATTTTTCTACCCTTAGATTTTTCTTCTCCGGGAAGAGAGTTTTCAATGCTCTAATAAATTTTCCAAATGCTTCAGAATTTTAAAAAAGGAGAAAATAATACTGCAACTTGACGTGGTTTTTTCACACGATGCATAGAAAATAAAAATCCTTATCAGAAAATTTCAATACGGTGAAAAAATATATATACAGTCATCAAAAAAAATTACATAGGTAACTTTGAAAGAAAAATAATACAAAAAATATTACATTTACCAAAAAATTTTTCTTTCATCTATTTGCATATTGAAACTATTTAAATTACGCGTACAAATTTTCTCCTACCATCATATTATACAGGATGAGTCTCCTAACATGACGACTTCAAATAACTCGTAAGTTATTCGTTGTACGAAAAAATGTTTCAAACAAAAGTTGCATGGTATCTAGGGGGATATAGAGTGCTCTAATCTGTTTTTTATTACCTTACTCTTTTATTGAGATATTAGGGTCATATTCAGTTTTGTATATGATATTTTTTTCGATTTCGGATAAATCGTCAAATTTTGCGTAAAAAAGTATTATTACAAAGTGGGACTTAAAGCGAATAATTACTGAGATATCTTCAAATTAATAATCTTCTATTAGGAAATACGCTCAGTCAGCGTGATTGTTAACACGACTTTGTTTACTTGTTTTATAAATATTTCAGTAATTATTCATTTTAAGTCCCACTTTGTATAATACTTTTTTACGCAAAATTTGACGATTCATCCGCATTCGAAAAAAAATATTAGACGTTCTATTTAAAAAACTGAAGGTGGTCCTAATATCTCAATAAAAAAGTAAGGTAATAAAAAACAAATTATAGCACTGTATGTCCCCCTAGACGACCCTATGTCCCCCCTACAACGAATAACTTACGAGTTATTTGAAGTCGTCATGTTAGGAAACTCACCTTGTATAGAGAAAATAATTACGTAGCCTGTTTTACTTTCCATTAATTGCTCTGTCGATTTAGCCTTTTTTTATCCATCGCACATTGTTCTCGTAATCTCGTACGCTCTCTAATTTAATCTTACAATCGAAATAGTCAATATTTCTGTATGCATCGAATCAGAAAATTGATTAAACCCCCATTCCGTTATACTTCTTCCTCTCTTCTTTTTTCTGCAATTAAACGTGATACGACTTAATACACATTCGACAGACTTGACGTTCATCCCTTATGTTATCGATGCACAGTTAATACAGAGGATCGATGATAACGTAACGAAAATTTAATTAACGCCTATTACCAGGCGGAACGGAAATGAAAAGCTCGGTATCGATAATCGAAGGGAACGTATTAAAATTCATCGATGAACGATTCATTTATTAAAACGTTCAGGTACCTCGGTGATGTACACGCGGAAGTGAATCGGTGCTTGAATTACCTTTAGAAATTCTACAAAGTTCGAACCTATTTCCGACGTCCAATTCTACGGAACGGAACGGAAGAAAGGAAATAGTTGGCTGGAGGGGAAAGAAGAAAAAAGGAGGGGAAGAAGGGAGGAAAAGGAATATCGCGAGAAGAATCCCTGGAACTGCCATAGAAGTTCTAGGGATTCTGTGGCGTGCACGAGCCCTTATCACAGACATATATACACACGTATATTACACAATGCTGAATCGTTGCTGTCGCTTTGCTCGAAGGTGGAGAGCAGCTCGAAGCAGAGCCCAAACAACCCTTGCGAAACCAAGTGCGGAGACAGCGGCTGTCACTGCGTCAGCAACAAGTCCCTGGAGAACGTAGACCACCTTCTGCTCGTCTCTGAAACCGATCACATCGTCACCTGCCTCTGCGGAAATTATCAGGTAAACGCGAGAATTGCTGTGAAGTTTGTACCACACAGGCAAAAGTCGACGTGTTCTATTCTCCCTCGTGTGAACATACGTATGCTTCTGTTTCTAGAGACACTTTTTCTGGGGTTGTTTTATAAGTTTCGTTGTTGATTTGTAGTCTTTTGAGAGGAAAGTTTGAGGAAGGAATTGGGAGGTTTAGAATGTAACTGAAGAAAGGGGTAATTGAGAGGAAGGAAGGAAAGACAGAGAACTTGTAAATTAAGTTACTGGGCTGGAGGAATAATTGTGTGTGTAACTTTGAATTTTAAAATCGGCGACCATTCGAGCAGGAATTTGCAAAATTTAGAATATTGCGAAAAATTAATTTTTCAATTTAACACTAGAACTACCGACCGGGTCAAAATGACCCATTAACATCTTTCGAGAAAACGTGTTCAATACTGGTAAGTGTTTGTAACTTTTCGAATTTATTTTCTACAGGTATGCTTCTATTTGTATCGATACAAATCGAATTTTCCAATTATGGTTTACTTACGTAAAAATTCACTTTTGTAAAGTCGGTAATGTGTCGTTCTGACTCGGCTGGTAATTCTAGTGTTAAAAAATATTACTAGAGGAGTCCTTCTTGACGAATTTTCTTCTGCCTTTCTAGAATTTTACGAAATAAGAATTCTTTTATAATTTAAAATATTATAAGAAATTAATTTTTCAGTTTAAAAAATA